CTTTACCCTACTTAACAAAAAGTGCACCACAATCTGCGAGGCTACAACGATGGGCTTTTGCTCTACAAAAGTTCAATGTGACAATCAAACATTGTCCTGGTGTGAAAATGCCTCATGCTGATGCACTCTCACGATTAGTGTAACAAATGTGCTTTTCAATTTTAAAAAAGAAATTTTGGATTTAGTGAATAATTATTTTCTTTATCTTATTTTGTGTATCTCATTATATTATTTGTGTGTCTATTTACATTTAAAAATGCTAGTGTTTCTTTTCGAGTAACAGTTTTTTTTATATTAATGTTTATTATGTGAATTCCTTAAATTTAAATTTTCTTTATTATTATGGTATAATTAATCATATCAAAAATTGTATTTTTAATTTAGTTTTGTGTAATTTGTTATGTATACTTATTTTTCATATTTTTTTAAAGTGTGAGGTAATGCTAATTACTTGTATTTTAGTGTATTATATGAATGTATATTATTTTATGCTTTATGATCAGATTGAGTATCATGTGTGACACATCAATCTTGTGTGGGGGGTGTAGTGTTTCCTCCCTTCACCAGGAGGCGCACTGTGCTCCCCTCCGGTAAGAATGTGTTTTTTTTATATAAGAGAGTCTCTCGGCACGGCGCGTTAGGTCGGAGGCCATTTTTGAAACATTACTCGCGTGGTAAATTAATTTTAAAATTTACATGTTTATATCGAATAAAAGTGCTGTTTTTAAGAATACGTCTCTCTGTTGGGAAAACGGCAACATTATACATTTTACCACAACGTATCACACTACCATTGCTGATTAATCAAAGTGCAAATACACAGTAATACCTCTAACTTAAGTGGGATAAGTGGGACTGAGTGATAACCGAGTAAGTCGAATTCGCATAAGTTAGGGTAAAATTTCTCCTATAAATACATATAAATTATTTTTAGTTGGGTCCAGAGGCGAAAGAAAATAATAGATTAGAAAGAAGAAATTTAATAGAATCATAGATAACACAAATACATTGTTAAAATAGATTCCATTTCAGCGATAATACCATGAAGTTTATAAATGATTGAAACATTGGGTATTTTTCACAGCATCAAGAATTTTTTCTTTACTTTTTATAACCGTTCTGACCGTTGTGGTTCTGTTAGATTAAACTTCATTGCTGATTCACAAATTTTTATTTTTGCATCGAAGTCTTTAGTGTAATACTAAGTTTACATTCCAAATATCAAGTTTTTCTTTTCTTGTGTGGTGCAGAAGAATCAGTTCTCTACTTCGTTTGGATGACATAGCCGTTTCTCAAATCTACGTAGATATAATACATATAACAAACACGATACATAACAATCATAACACTTAATAACAAACGTACTCTCTGTATATAAGAAATAAACAACACGAAATAATTTGTTATGGCTAAGAGCATCGATTCCACGCGATACGTCTGAACATGTACATTAGCTAATGGATTGTGGGTAATCGAGTTGTGTAGCGCTCAACAAAAAGACGAATCAACGAGATTTGAAAATCGCGTAGGTCGAGGTGCATTAGGTGAGTGAACGTTTATTAACGACACTCTTTAAAGCAACGGGAGGACTATTGGCAATGGACCTCGTAATTATGAAACTTGGTCAAGTGACGAGGACAATATCTGAGTTGCCACCCTTCTCTCTGAATTTCCACACCATGCCAACGTGAAGACTTTGAGCATTGTGATAGATTTAACATATATCATCTCCTCTACTCGGCAGGTCTTCAGAGACATTAGGGCTCGAACTCATGACATGCCGGCTACGAGTCCATGACCATGACCTCTCGGTTACGACAGACACTGCTAATAAATACGTGATGATAATGATGATGTCGTATCCATGGCGGGACCAAATAAGATAGTACCATGGGCCCAGATGACTGTTCTGGCATCTGTTCAATCTTGTTCATGTTTGTTGACGAAAACAGCCAAAAATATCATAAATCGGTGTCTGGTCATTAGAATCGTGCGTAGCAGCTAACCAATTCCTACAACATAGCAAGCAATGAAGACTCACCATTTACCCCTTTGATAAAAATTAAATTATATAGAATTAATCAAAATAATTAGAACTTATATTTGTCCCAATTCCCCCATGAAGCGCTTAAAATTTCCCATTCAGTAGTAAAACTTTTAAATTTCGTTATTAACCCGCTCCCTTTGACACCTCAACTCCCTGGTACTTTTTGCTGACAATAAATGGGTAGTGAGCAGGGGGGTTCATTCATGGGTTTCTTACAGATATCAGAATACACAGGGTAACATTCTAAACGACAGTGGTACTGAAATTAAGACGTGTTATTGCTGCTAATCGCTGTCTTCATAGTCTAAGAGTTTTCTTAAAGTCAAAGTTAATTAAAAGACATACAAAAGTTATTCTTTATAAAACAATCATGAGACCCGTACTGACTATCGATTTGAAACTTGAATTTGGACTAAATCACAGACTGTGAACAACTAGCCATCTTTGAGCGAAACGTTCTTAGATATATCTTTGGTAATGTAAATGAGAATGGATTCTGGAGATAATGTCACAATTTTGAATTATATAATCCATCCACATAGCTGATGTCACATTAAATCCATCAAGATGGGTCGTTTGAGGTTTACGGGCCACATCTGCCGTAAGGACCCCTCATCCTTGACGTTCAGAATTTTCAACTACAAACCTATTGAGACTAGAACTAGGGCTAGGCCTAAATTGAGATGGGCTGATTGTGTTGAGGATGATGGAACTGTTGCTAAGCGGAGGTCGGAATGAAAGAAGGTTCTTGGGAAGGTCTTGGCTCACCCAGGGCTGTTGTGTTATCAGAAGAAGAATACAGGGATCGCTTTGTAATTCCCATTAATGCTAACGAAATTATTGGCGAAAAACTTGGTAAATTTATGCTCTAAGATAAAAATACTGGATACTTATTAGACAAATATTTCCTTCTTTTTGGTTTGGTATTCATATTGTAATATGATTGAAATATAATTATTCAGTGTCCAAAATTATAAAGAAATAAAACAATAAACGAATAAAAAAAGGGCTATACACATTTTGATGTGATTAAATACATATATTTTGAATTTTAAAACTAAAGCAGATCAAATATATCTTTTTAAATACATGAGAAAAAGGAACTGGATGATATGAAATATTTTAAAACATAGTTTTAATAACAAAATTTGATTGATATGAAAAAAACACTTTATTTGAATTTTAAAAAAATGTTTTAAATAACATTTTCATGGTATACAAAGTTTCTTTGAGCGAAATATTTTAAGTATGCAATACCTTTAAATAGATAAAATTGAAAAATATATTTACAATATTCTGTAATTTATATGTAATTGTATGTAATTAACTGCATATAATTTTTTTTACTAACGTTACACTTTGAAGTTAGCTGTGCTTGTGAGTTATTGGCAACGGACCTCAAAATTTCAAATCTTGGTGACGATATCATAGCTGACGTCCCATTGTCCAAACTTCCTCACCATGCTAGCGTGAGGTCTTCGAGCTTCAATATATTCAATGTTTCGGGGATTTGATTAAAATTTATGTTGTCGACCGAAGCAGTACGAGAGCTATTGATGACGAAATTTGTAATTCTGAATCACTGTCAAGTGACGAGGACGACACTTGAGTTTACACCCCATCCTCCGTTCAACTTCCTAACCCCGTCAACGGGATGGCTTTGAGCCGCGACGGATTTAAAGACATCAAGCTCCTCTACATGGCGGGTTTTTCTTGGCCCTTGGACTCAAAACTCATGACACGCCAGCTACAAACCCGTGACCATAATCTTTAGGCTGCTACCGTAACCAAGTCTCGAGCCACGTGGAAGGTTTAAGACACCGACCATTTATTTACCGTGGTTTTATCTTTCCTTTGCCCGTATTTTATTTTTAAATCATTTGTTTAAGCAGAAAATATATAGATTTTAAAACTGTATTAAAACTGTACTTAAATGTAAACAAAAGTCAGTAACAAAGTTTGTACTGTAAAGTAATGAGAAGTATATGAGAAACTCCTAAAAAGTGAAAGTTTTTGTATGCTTCTACCCTAAACTAAATTCAGTGGCATAACAGCCCACGGCGGGCCAAGGCATACTGCGCCCAGCTCAGTTTTCGTGACCTTGGGGGCTGAGGTGCATGACAGATGTTCCGGTCATTGGGTCAGTCTGACGTGAAACCCTCAGTGTTTAGTTCCCAAGCAAGCTTATTACTTGTTTATCGACCCACTAAAAGGATGAAAGCATGATTGGACCTTTCCCAGCCTGAAGTTTGAGCCCTGGACCTGTGGCAGGGAAGAGCGATTGTAACGTCACTTCTCGAAAACATCAACATCTAGTCGGCTTCTTTGTGGACCCGACACCCACACGTGCATCTGCAGCTGCAACGCAACCCCTTTTTGACCCCCGAGGAATCTAGCTCGTCGACCGGAAGATGAGGGGATAGATGCTTTGAACTTGCACGGGAGCGGTAACCAACGAATCCTCCTCTCACAAAATATTGGACTCTAACAATCTATAATTAACTTTACTAACTCTAATGTATCATTTAGTAAATAATTTTCAATAGTTGTGACGTAAATAAATTCCATATTTTAATTAACCAAGAATACGCTACCGTTATTCTTTCAAACGTTACAGCGATACGCTACCACTCGGTTACTGGGCATCTCTAACCTAAGCTCTGTTAAGAAAGTTATCAACAAGCAATATATAAAAAAAATTAATGTCAGTTCCTACTTAGGTTAACAAAGAAAAGTTTTATTTTAGTTACTTTTCATTAAGTAATTACAATTAATATAAACATGCATATACATATGACAGAATCCCAAAATTGACAAAATAAAAAGCTATTTTTCTTTCTATATATCGTGTTGGAATGTTATTTTTGTTTGTTACTATTTATTCATTTATTAAATTTAATTATTCCGATAAAATAGTACAGTAAAAAGAAATAATTTTTCTCAGAAATTAGGCCATCCCTGGTGGTATTCGAACCCACGACCTTTGGATTAGAAGTTCAACGCGCGCAGTTCATTGCGCTACAGGAACGCAATGAGAGATTTTCCATTTTATACATGGTGTTGGACTATTATTTTTGTTGTTAATATTTATTCATTAATTAAATTAAACTAACGAATTAATATTTGAAAAAAAATTGCATTAACCCAAGTGTCATCCACTGCAAGTTATAAAAAATGTACTTGAACTTAAGTGGATGAATAAAAAATATTTTATTAACGATTGAAAATTTGAATAATATATATATATATATATAGTATCCAATGGTTATCGACAACTCCACGCAGTCTTCGCGCGCAGGCGCAGCAAATCCAAACACGAACTGAAACTATGGGACTTTTAAGAATTAGAGAAAGAGAGAAAGCGAAAAGGAGGAACGACGGAGGTGCGTGAGCAGGCGTTACCGACCACACACACCATGGAACTTTATCTGTTAGAATAGCTACCTTTTTAATTAATTTTTATTAAGTTTTAAAATAAAATAGAAGAAAGACAAACGTCTTTTGGACCCCTTGTTGTCTCCCACATATATATATGAAATAGTATATTGAATAGTGTATTTGAAAATAGTAGGACTTGAATAAAAAATTGTTCGGTTAAAAAAAAAGGATATATGAAAAAAAGAAATTCTACAGTAATTATTTCAATAACCATTATGTCGCTAGGTTTTAAATTCTTCCACGATACCAATATCAATAACAATTCTTGAATGAAAATATTCAAGAATTTCTGACAGTATATTTTTTTGTATATATATTTCACAGTTTCTTTCAACAACCTTTATGGTATTACAGGAATAAAACTAAAATAAAATGAAAATTAGGAAGTATTTTGAAAATGCTTTTCCTTTGTTATGAAACCGATCAGAGTCAAAAGAGTGTTGCTTCTATTGTGTCTTATCTGTTGATCCGGTTCCATTAGTTAAAGTAGGAAACATGCACCTAATTTTATTATCAAAAAAATAAGATCAAAGGAGATTGGAATTGAAACTGTAATTCGGAATCAATTATCTCTAATGGAAGAATATTAAACAAGATATCTTTTAGATCTAATATTAGAAATTTTTGATAATCTTATTGTGTGAAAAAAGACATTTTGTAAGCTATTATGATGATTTTAAATTTATCTTCGATGTAAAATTTTCAAACATGTTTTATATTAGTTTTATACGAAAAAGAGGAAATATTAGGAAAATATTTGAATATAGTATAATTTGTATTTATACACATTGTATATAATAATTTTATTATTCAATAATACAGTAATTCTCAGCTTTTTTTGTTCGTGGCACATTTTTAATTATTCGAAAATTTGGAAACACACACACTGGCATAAAATTATCCTGTTTACCTTTAAATTGGGTGTTAGCTTTGTCTTGAGGGCTGAAAATATAAACAATTTTCAAATAGATATAATTCTTTACTAGCAATAAGTTGATTTATAAAGTTAAATGCATCCTCATTACACTGTTATTGTTTTTATATAAGTAGAATAATAAAGTTTTTTTTTTTTAAAAAATAAAAACATTGCATTAAAAAGTTGATTTTTTTTAAAGAAAATTTCTCTCAATATTCTAAAAATATTTCTAAATACAAAAGATACATAATACGAAAATTAGGAAGGGTTTAAAAAGTATGATATATTTTATAATTCTATAAAGTTTTATACATCAAGGGGGGGGGGCTACTATTTTAGAAAATAGCATGCGCAACTTAAAAATTACTTAATATTTATTACAAAAAATGTTTTCATATGCTTATAATTTTTAAAACTATTATATTTTAAACATTTTGTACTTTTTTGTAACCCCATTCTTTTATAAATAATATGTAAAAGGCTCGAATTATTTAATCTTAATTTCAAAGAATTATATCTATTTGAAAATTGTTTATATTTTCAGCCCTCGAGACAAAATTAACAACACTAAGACCCTTTAATAGAGATTCATAATAGTGGTATATACTTCAAGAATTACTGCTTAATGGAATATAAGTGAATAATTTTTGATGAATGATTGAATGGAAAAAACAACAGTTTGTCTATATTTTTAAAAGGTATATATATACAAATCTTTTATTAATAGTAAATATGTTATTTATTTTTTAACATTTCACCATTTTCATTAGTATGTTTTTTGTTTATTTTTTTTTATTGTACTTCACTTTGTGAGTGACTTACTCCCCTGTGTGAAGTTGATTCCTCCTACCTAAGGGTGTAGGAGGAATGAAAGCAGATCCAGAAAATTACATAATAACAATAATTTATTTACTCAAACACACCAACCAACAACAATTTATTCTCTAAGTGAATGTCAAAGGAGTAGCAGGGAGAAAGCAATGAATATTAAGCAAATATGCGCTAGTAACTTATTTAACTCAACGTAATCTAAATTGGATTCCTAATCTCTTAAATCTACTAATTCAACACAATGGCCAAACACCACTTTTAATCGTTACATGCGAAAGTCATTTTTATTCAATCCCACCTGCGTAGCGAATATAGTAGCTTCTTACCTCCCCCTACCATGATTACAAAACTCTGACTTTATATAGTCGAGCTAATCTGAATATCAAGGTTTCTTCTTGAGAGGGATGGCTGTGAATTAAACGCGAATGGGAACCCAAAGATTCCCCAAGAGGATGTTAGAAGACGCGAATAGATTCGTCACAACTTTAAGAGGAATCTTTTTGAAACCTATTTGAATTTTTTATATTAAAATTAATTTTCGTATGTATTTTAAACAAAAGATTATTTAAGAACTTCTGAAACAAAGGCACATTTTAAAATAATACAAAAATTATTACTTAAAAATACTACTTAAAAGCTTCTTTAAAAACTACTTATTATATTCCTTTATAGAATTATTTATTTTTCTACGGAGAAAATGAATTTAACAAATAAAACAGTACAATTGTGCAAATTGATTCTAAAATTGAACGATTATTTTTATTATTTTATAGTATTAAGTTTTACGGAGAAAATTAATGAAACAAATCAAATTTTAGAATAATTGTGAAAATCGAATCTCATATTTAAAATATTATTATTTTGTATTATTGTTTTACCGGTGAGAGGAGAAAATCAATGTAACAAATTAAAATCTAGAACAATTGTGGAAATCGAATCTCGCATATTTTAATGATTATTATCATTATTTTATAGAATTATTTTTGAGGAGAAGAAAAATTACACAAATCTAACTCTAGAATAATTGGTAAAATCGAATTTCATACTTTAATGATTTTTTTATTCTTTTTATAATGTTATTTTTTAAGGAGAAAATAAATAAAACACATTAAACTCTAGACGACTTGTGAAAATCAAATAGCATATTTTAATGCTTACTTTTACTATTTCATAGTAATATTTTTACGGAGACCACAAATTCAACAAATCAAACCAGAATAATTGTGAAAATCGAATCTGTTATTTTAATTATCATTTTATAGTATTATTTTTATGGAGAAAATTCGCTTAAAAAATTAAACTCTAGAACCATTGCGAAGATCGAATCTCGTATTTTAATGATTCTTTTTCTTGGTATTTTAAAATCATGGATTTGAAATCCTAACAGAAGCGAGAGGGGGCGAAAAATAGAAGAAAAAAAAAAAAGGGGACGTCTAATTTATTCATAGTTCGATTTCACTAAGGAGCGATCGAAACCACGTGGGAGTAGTAACGGCGATTTAACGCCATTCTAGTCGCCACTACAAAGAGGAACAGCACCGACTGAGCCAGCACGTTTGCTTATCTATCAGCAGGCAAGCTGATCCAAGTTAATCACCAAAAAATTAATCCTGTCATTAGGAAGGAAGGATATTACGCCAGAAAAGCAAGACTGATAGAGAAGGCAAACTTGTCGACAGCGTGGCAGGGAAACTAACAACACTCGATAGCACCTTCATTGGCGAAACATCTCGCGAAAGGTCGATTGCGGCCAAATGAATAAGTCTACTGGGTTTTCGAACGTGCAGTAGAATGTTCTGAGAGATATCGAAACTGTGTTTCTCTTCCGAACACTGGGGTCAAACCGGTTCTGGAGAAGCCTGAGTGAATTACTAAAAAGAAAAGTATAAACTAGTGCCTGGTGAATAAAGCGTGGAGAAAGAAAATGGAAGTAAAATCGTCAGTGTATTCCGGGCTGTTCGAGAGATAACACGCCAGATCGAAGCTGTCGCCTCTTCTGATTGGAGGTAAAGTGCTCTTGTCTTATTTATTAGAATTAGTTAATTTTCGGTTGTTTGTCATAGAATATGTGGGGTTAAAACAGATGGACTTAGTTGTTCTTATCTACCACGTGGTCGCTTTGCCTTGAAAAAGAAATGTTTAGCGTTGATTCAAGAGCGAAATACCCGCCAAATTGGAGATCGGAGCTGTCCGGAAATTGGATTTCAAGCAAGATCTCCGTTTTCCGGTTCTAGAAGAGCCTTTCCATAAATTATGATTCTTTTCTTTTACCATGTGGTAATTTTGAAACAGTTTTCAGTTGGAATAAGGATTTCCAAACCTTTGGTTATTTTTAAAAATTAGAAAAGTGAAGACTCGTGTAGTGAAATTATATTATTATTTTAAAGATGCGATAAGTTTTTATTTTTAATTAAAATTTACCTTTTTCTGTTAGTTATTTATAAGTAGTTTGTCATAGCTATTAAAATAGTTCTTTTAATTATTGTTTTATTTTTTGAGAATTATTTACTTTAAAAATTTTTTTGGGGGAAGAGACAATACGATTTTTTCCCCTTGTAAATTGAGTCTATATTATTTTTGATTAAATTTAACCGATTGAAATTATTTTTATCATCTATTTTTGAAATTAAAAATAAATCTAACTTAATCGCTCATTTTTATTGAGAAAAGTAATTGTGCTATTGACTAAAATAAATTTTACAAGCATATTCATCATTTTATCAATTTGATTTGATGCTGTGATATATAACTGTAAAATAATTTATATAAACCCATTTATTGTCACTCAAATATCTACAACGAATTTTTTCCTCTTAAAAATAAGCGGAAAAAAATCAAGTTTT